AGAGTCGGAAGCACACTCTCCAATCGCTTGGGATAAAGTGGAGAAACTTCAAACATCATCTATATGATAAATACATTAAGGAATATAAAAATGACCCTGAGGCGAATTTACTCAATCCTCCAGATAAGTACCCATTCTTGAAGAAAGAAGACTGGAAACTTTTTGTAGAACAAAGACTTTCAGAAAAGTGGGAGGTTTGTTAAACTTTTTGTGTGTGTATTTGTTCCATGTTCATTGAGTTTTAAAAACAATTTTAATGTTTCTAATGCAGGAAAAAAGTAATGATGCTAAAAAAGTCCGTGCTCATCATAAATACAATCATCGTTTGAGCAGAAAAGGATATGCTAGACTCGTTGATGAGATTGTATGAATTAAATTACTCAAATAGTTTACTTGTATCTGTTTATGTTAATTGACTTAATTCATATTTGTTATTCTTGATAATTTAGATGCAACAAACGGGGAAGACAGAAGAGGAGATTGATAGAACAATGTTGTGGAAAAAAGCAAGAGAAACGAAAGAAGGAGGTTACGACCCTGATGTCAAGAAGATTGTTGATAAAATGGTTAGTTTGTTCTATTTAGAATTTTTTTTTTTTTTTTAAATTCCTTCATATATCATGCTATTTATTTATACACCTACTCCAGCCAGAGTGAAAAAAAAAATGATAAGGGTATTTTAGGAAACTGTAAAACTTCAATTGGACCATTTCTGTTATTTTTTTGTTTGTACATGGACTGTATACATGTCTTTGCAGCAAAGGTGAAAGTTATAGCATCCTACTTATAAGCATCACTCACAAAACACAACATATTTAAATATTTTTAAAAAACAATATAAAAAATCTTGTTACTTTGGTCAGGTTGGTGATTTTCTTTGGTGTAGGTGCAAGATGGAATATTTTTTCATTTTGGCACATATTTCTAGGGTTTTTTATAAGCCCTATACAATATAAAATGCCAAAATAGAAACAGTCAACAATTTGAGTCTTACAAGCACCATACTATGTACTTATGTTTCCAGTAAAACTCAATAGCTATCCCTTTTCTTTTAAAAGCTCAGAATCATCAACAATAGCAAATTAACATGCAACAAAAGTTCATAATCTGTCCCATTTAAAGTTTGAAAGTTTAGGCAATAACAACATACTTGACCTTTGTATGCCTCTACCCTCCAACTTATCAATGGGATTTTATGTTGCAAAATACATTTTTCATCCCTGTATGGTTTTCATCTTTATGTAATTTTACATCCTATTAAAAAAAAACAAAAAAAAAATTGTTTACTTGATCTGATTGTAGCATCTTCTCCAAGGAAACATTTTATTACAAAAAAATTATGTGGATGATATATATATAAAAAGTATAGTGTATGATAGTTTTTACCTTTCTTTTTATAATGTGTGTTTTAAACTATAAAGTATCATATAGACATAATCTTTAATTGTATCCGAATTACAGGATAAGCTGCAGAATTCAGAAAGTTGTGGAGAGGTTACATATGGAACAAATGATGTGCTTACACAAGCCCTAGGTACTCAAGAAAACCGTGGGCATGTACGTGGGATGGGTAAATATGTAGCACCACACCAATATTTTTTATTACCCAAAACTGTTAAGCAATATTTGGACCTTGAGAACAAGAAGTTGGATCAACGCTTCAACAAGCTTGAAGGTGAGGTAGAGAAACTCAAAAGAGGTGTCAATCCTGTTTCTGAAGGCGTAAGTCGTCAAATGTGGGGCAATGAAGATTTAGAAGACCAACCAATTGAAGAATTACTTGTATGTTTCTTTTTAAATTGTTTGCTTTATATTTAAAAAGTAAAGAGTTAATTGCAACTAACATACTGTATTTCTAGGATAATTCTTGTTATCTTGCGGTTGATGTTGCCTCAAATATAGTTGCCAAAGCAACCATAATGAAGGACAGTGTCTCGGGTATTACATTATGAAAAATGTTCGCTTTATATTACTAGTTTATTTTCTTATTTTTACAATGTTTAGAAATTGGATCTTAGTTTTACTTTCATTCATATTACAGATGAAAACATTGAAGTTATGATGGAAACGTCTGTACAAGGAGAAGCTTTACTACCAGTTCCACTGGAAGAGGAGTTCATTGTGAATGTCAAAGATGCAGTTGGGCACATACTGAGTTGGCCGAGATATCTAGTCATTCGATGCTCTGATTTGGTAATATTATTTTCATTCATTTAAAGTATTTATATGGGTTTAATTTGAAGAATTTATTTATATTTTTTTTATAGGAAAAAGTGGTGGGGAAACCAATGGAAAAACATGGAAAACTTGTAAAAGAAGAATTAGAGAGTAAAAAAGAAGAAAAACGGAAAAGAGAATCAGATGAGGAAAAGGAAAAGGAAAAGGAGAAAGGAAAAGAAACGGAGATCTTGCAAAAGAGGAGGACGAGAGCACAGATGAGGACAAGGATAAGAATTGAAAATAATCGTGTTTTGAAAATGACTGCACTTATGGTTGACGCACAACTTTTAAAGGCAGAGTCTATAAAAGTGCAGTGTGAGGACGATCTATTTGGGTATGAGAGTTACACCTACTTATCTTATGAAGATTTTGAAGTGGTTTTTACATTGGATGAGCTGACTGGTGTTGTTATTACTTGTTATATGATGTAAGTGCTTAAATTTTTATTTAAATAACTTTTCGTATAACACAGTTTACTTTAATCGATTTTGTTTTTGTACGTCAACAGGTACTTGTTTGAGCAAATCAAGAATGGGCCAAAAAGCGATCATGGAATTTGTTTTGTGAGCCCGACTGCAATCTCGCCACGTGCACGTAAAGACAAATTGAAAAATATCGCTGACGCAAGCAAAAGCGTTGCAGATCGGTTGTCTACAAGAAAGGACAATGACCTCATCCTATTGCCCTACAATCCCGGGTTTGGTTTTCCATTTGATTATGAATACAATAATTACCAATCTATTTTAGTAACTAACATGTTTTTGATTTAATTTGGTTTTTGGTTTGTATAGAAGACATTGGGTGTTGGCCGTACTTGACATGAAAACAGCTAGTTGCTATTATCTTGATTCCCTGAGACCCAAAAATGTCAATTCGCAGTTGAAGAACATTATTGAAGCGTAAGTAATCTAAATTATTGAAACATTATATTATATTATATTGTTTGATATATTTCATCATTTTTTTTATAGAGCAATGGTCTTGTACGCTACACAAAGTGGATCCAATAAAAAGGTTAAACTCAACTGGATCAATGTTACGGTGAGTACTTACGTCATTATTGAAATTGCAGGTTTGACTTCATTTTGACTTATCATTTATTATGTAATTATGTAGTGTCCTCGTCAGCCGGGAAGCACCGAATGTGGCTTCTATATGTTAAAGTTCATGAAAGAGATAGTTGAGGAAGGGGTTGAAGTGTTGGTCAATAAAAATGTAAGTAAACTTTTTGTATCGTTATTAAATTATTGATTTGTTAATTATAGCATCCTACTTACACATATGCTATAATGCAAATAATGTTGTGTTAATTATAACATCATCACACTGTCACTGCTATAATTGAAACAGTAGGTTACATGCAAGAAACAACAATGTATTTTCATTTATTTGAAAGTATAATGTTTTAATAAGAAAGGAATCGAAATGATCATTTTATGTTTATTTGTTGAATATAGCATCCTACTCTTACTAAACACTAGGATACATTCAAGAAACAACAATGTACTTTCATTTATTTGAAATTACGATGCTCTAATAAGAAAGGAATTGAAATGATCATTTTATGTTTATTTGTTAAATATACAAGTTATTCATAATAAAATAAGCTAAGTGTATAAAAACTTTGTCAAATTGATGAATAGTATATATATAGTCTTGCATGCTATTCCCTCGTTAAAGTGCGATACAAATTTGATTTGTTTACAGGTTGGGGGCGGCAAGGATGTGTACACGGATGCTGATATTGATGAACTTCGCGAAGAATGGGCGTATTTTGTGACAAATTTTATTTTCCGATGATATTTTGTGTCGACAAACAATATTTTTGATAACTTAATTTGAAATGTTTCTTAATTATTATGACATATGATGTTATTGTGTACAACGGATTATTGTATAATGACTGAATATTTATGACAAACATTTTGTATGCCAATATTTGACTTCTTTAAGCACAATTTGTATTTAATGATTTTCGGTGTGTATTATTGTTATTATTATTATTGATGGTGCTGGGAAGTATCTGCAAGGTTTCAAGAGAAAATCGTCGTCAGCCGCTTCCCGGGAGGAGACTCCCGGAAGAACGCTCTGACGGTCAAGTTAGATGGTGTTTAGGGTATTTCTGATAGGAATAGCTTGGTGAAAAGTGCTTACTTTTAGGGGCTCCTGATAGCGCCCTTTTATACCTAGTGACCCTGCTTGTCCGTACAGGACAAGATCGCTTTTAGGGGACAAGATCAGAGGCGCTGATTGGAGGATTGTGCGCTTCTATATGTCAGAGTACTGCCATTGGCTCCGACGATAATGCTCTGATCCTTTGCCTTATCGCTTGACCGTATCCTTTGTCTTGATGTCGGGACCTCCCTAGCGGGCGTAAGCCTTTCACCGGGGCGCCCTGCTCTTAGGGGCGTTAGCGAGTGCTGAGCCCACTTCTCTTTGGCTCAGCCAGGGCGCCAAGTTTCTTGGCTGGGTGTGACTCTTCCGTGCCGGCTTAGGCGCGTCATCAAGTCCCCCAGTCCAGTAGTCGTAGCGTTGTACTACTAGATACGACGTCCTGGGCTTGATAGCCTTACACGTGTTGTTTCCCCGTTTGCTCGCCGTTCCGGTTTTAATGGTGACGTGACCGCTCATGATGGCCAGTAGTTTCGTCATCGTGTTAGACATTTTGAACATCCCGCCCTTTCTGTTTTCTTATAAAGGTGTTCATCATAACTTCTTATCTATGGTTCCTTTCCCTTTCCATTATTCTTCTTCAAATCTATTTTCTTTTCTCTCTTTCCATGGCGAGTCCCCCGGGCATTGTGCCCTCTGCTTCTGAGTATACGTATCTTGAGTCCACTAATGGACACACTTCTCTTGATGGTGTGAAGTTTCCTTCACCAGGTTCATCTATCCTCCCCCCCCCCCCCTCCCCTCCGGGAAAAGTCAGGATCTACCAAAAAAAACTAGATGCTGACCTCCGTCTCCCCTTAACTGATTTCCGGGAGGAGGTGCTTCAAAGAGACGGTTGCAGTGTTCAAATGCTAACGTTAAACGCTGTGAACAAGGTTGTTGCTTTTGAGATGATCTGTCGGGCTAATAGGTATCTTCCCGACTACTTTGTCTTTAAGTACTTCTTCCGCTTTTGCTGTACCGGTGATAAATACACGTTTTCCGTTCGCCGGGGGGGGGGGGGGGGATACTCTGGTGCCTGACGGTCAAACGCCCAAAAACTGGCAAGACAAATGGTTTTGGATTAATCAGGGTTTGGTGGGTAGTGGTCGCTATCGTGCTAATTCTTTTGTTGATATTATCCCCAAACTTTTTCCCCATAACCAGGGCGTGGCTGATCTTCTTAAGAATATTCAGGTGTCTCCCGAAGATTACTCTGAAGCCCTTCTCGCCGGTGTGGGGATGAGCCCTCTTGGAGGCGTCGCGGAAAAATGACAGTTTTCTTCATCGTTGTTGATGGTACGTCTCTGTGTTTTTCTTTTGTTTACCAATGTTAGGGCTTTATTATCTGGCGATCTTCCCCTTCTGACTTTTCTTTGATGTCTTGACATTTCCAGGTCATGAGTCTCTTTTTTCTATGGATGAAGTGTTCCGGAAGCGTTATAAGGGTAAACTGGAGCATCGGGAAGTGGATCTGGTTGAACTCCTACCTCCTCCCCGCCGCTTGGATCAGCTTGCTCTGACTACTGCTATGCCTATTCCTCCATCGATGAATGAGAACCCGTCATCTGCTGAAGCGGACCCCTGCAGTTCGTCCTCTTTCTTTCGTCATGCCTTTGGGTGGTGCTCACCATACTTCCTCTGAGGGTGACGAGGATAGCAAGGATAATGTGATCGCTGATGTTTGGCGGCTGCAAGCCAAGCGGAAAGCCATTCTGGTCATAGGGGAGTCGGTTGTCGGTGCACCTAGTGAGCGAGTTTAGACTAGGCGCAACTTTTCGTGCCTTTTGAGTTCGATTTCTTCGTCACTGGCAGCTGTTGTCGTAATCCTTGATGATGACGATCCACATTCTGAAGGGATTGTTGGGGCGCCTGTAACATCCCAAAAATACGAGCCAAAAATTTCATTTTTAAAACATATACTTAGCAAAACATTAGAAATAAAACATTCACCGATCATATCATTTCATAAAAGATGTCGCATGTCTGGAAACCAGTATATAGAAACATAATAATGACAGAGTACAAATCCCCAGGAAGATCTCATAATGCGGAATACAAAGCGTGTATGTGATGTGTCGCTACCGCGCCAGCTCCTTCCCCTTCGAAGAAGAGGTACCTGAAACCAAAGCTGAAAATTGTAAGCACGAAGCTTAGTGAGTTCCCCCATCATACCACATACCATACAATCACATATCATACATACCGTCGGGCAATTATGGGGTGTCCGACTTACCTGGAACGGCCATTCTGGGGTGCCGACCTACCCGTGTCAAGCCGTTCTGGGGTGCTGACTACCCATGTCAAGCCATTCTGGGGTGCTGACTACCCATCGGTCCTAACAACCGATCCTCGGGGACTATTTCACCCCCTACTGCTACTATCACAAATATCATAACATAACATATTATCAGACATATCTGGGGTGCATGAACTATCCTTCGGTCCTAACAACCGAACTCGGGGACTGGTCCCCTCCTACTACCTCTATCGCATATAACATAACAAGCCAGCATGCTAACATATCATCACATACTGTCAGATGTATCTGGGGTGTCTGACTACCCTTCGGTCCTAACAACCAAACTCTACTACTATCACATACAACATATCATGCTAGTATATAATATATCAGGTAGCAGCAAACCTAAATGATATCACAAAGTCAATCATCTATCATATGTCTCCTACTGGTGGGCCGGCATTGTGGCCTTAGACCCACCGCTACTGGAAGATAACTCACTTCAAAGTAGCTGCTGATCTGCGTGGGAACTGACTGTCTTCTTCTGCTGTTGCCCCGGAAATCCGCCGACTATAATTCCCACAAAACACTCAGTCAAATACTGCTAATCGACCTTAGGGTAAAATGACCATTTACCTCTAACCAAACCAAGAGTCAAAGTCAAAGTCGACTTCCAGTTGACCCAACTCGCCGAGTTGGCTCGCCAACTCGTCGAGTCCCTATCTATTCGATTGGCCATAATCCCGTCTCTACTCATCGAGTTAGGCATTGACTCGACGAGTTTTCCTTATAAACCGATGTCCAATAGTCCTTCATCCTACTCATCGAGTTGTATGAACAACTCGTCGAGTTCATCTTCATCTGAAGAACAATCTATGTTGAGACTCGTCGAGTTGAATGAACAACTCGCCGCGTTTGTTCTTGAGATAAGAAGATTACCTTGAACTCGTCGAGTCAGGGCATTGACTCGCCAAGTTCCTTCATGAGTGAGTTTGGCTTCCGACCCACTGAGTTACACCCCATGACTCACTACTCCACCCAGCAAACACGAAAAGGGGGGAAAACTCGGGGACTCGCAACTCAACTCGTCGAGTCCGATAAATGACTCGCCGAGTCTTTCACATGCAAATACTATATACTCGATTTTACTTGAATCCAGCTCATGCCATACATAGATATGGGCTCTTAGGGCTTGATTAACACGTAAAGTTTCCAACTTTACGTGTAAATAAACACCGATGAAGGTTTTAGGGCTCAAAATGCACTAAAAGAGTAGATCTAGGGCTTTCATGCAATATGGCTTCATAAAGGCAGTAGATCCGAGCTCCTGGAGCTCAATCCTGCCTAGATCTAAAAGGTTAATCAACTTATTACAGACCCTAAGTCATACCCAAGCTTTGAAATGGCTCAAGAAGGACTTTAATGGAGCTATAAGGGACTATAAGCATGGAAACAGAGGGAAACTGAGTTATACCTCAAGGGAATCACTTGAAATAACACCAAGGTGTCTGGCCTCATTCTTCTCTTCTTGATCTACTCTTCTTCTCTCTTAACATCTTCAAGAAAACACACTAAAACACTTCAATCTCACAAGGAACAAGGGTTAGACGATATAGGGAGCTCTGAGGGTGAAGGGGGCGAGCTTGGGGTGCATAAGGTTGGTTTAAATAGGGTGCAAACCCTTGGAATTAGGGTTTTACCAGACAGGGGGGACTCGCCAAGTCCAGGATATGGACTCGCCGAGTTTCCAACTTAAACGTGTTCCATATCCCGTCTCTAATCGGCGAGTCGGGCCTACAACTCGCCGAGTCCAAGGCTAAAATTGCAAAATACTTAGATAAATTTTACATACCAGGAACCAGGTGCTACAAATTTCCCCCACTTATTTTAGACTTCGTCCTCGAAGTCTGCTGCTCGATCCTGAAATAGCTCGGGGTAATGCTCCATCATTTCTTCCACCGGCTCCCAAGTCCACTCTGAACCCTTTCGGTGTTGCCATTGCACCTTCACTAATTCCACCCTCTTGTTCCTCAGATCCTTCGACTTCCGGTCGAGGATTGCGACTGGGTGCTCAATGTAATTCAAACTGTCATCAACTTGTATATCCTCTAACGGCACCACCGCAGATTCATCCACTAGGCACTTCCGCAGCTGGGAGACATGGAAGGTGTTGTGGATCTGACTGAGTTCGGTTGGCAGATCCAGTCGGTATGCCACCTTGCCCACCCGGGCTACAACCCTGAACGGACCAATGTACCTCGGGCCCAAGTTACCCCGCTTCCTGAATCGAATGATGCCTTTCCAAGGCGACAATTTCAGGAGTACCATATCCCCGACCTAGAACTCCATGTCTGATCAGCGCTTGTCGGCGTAACTTTTCTGCCGACTCTACGCAGTCTGAAGCCTACTTCGAACCTGCTAGATTCTCTCGGACGTCTTGAGCACCACCTCTGTGCTCCCCATGACCCTCTGGCCAACTTCACCCGAACATATCGGGGTCATGCACCTCCGTCCGTACAACATCTCGAAAGGAGGGTGGTTGATACTCGTGTGGTAGCTGTTGTTGTACGAGAACTCAGCCAAGGGAAGATAGGTATCCTAGATACCACCAAAGTCTAGCACGCACGCCCGCAACATATCCTCCAAAGTCTGGATGGTCCGCTCGCTCTGACCATCCGTCTGCAGGTGAAAGACAGTGCTAAAATGCAGACGAGTGCCCAACTCATCATGAAACTTCTTCCAAAACCTGAAAGTGAAACGCACATCTCTGTCTGATATCACTGACACCGGTACCCCGTGTCGCGCCACTATCTCTTGGATATAGATATCGGCCAACTTTTCGGCCGAGATGCTCTCCTGGATCGGAATAAAATGGGCGCTCTTTGTCAATCGATCCACGATGACCTAAATCGAATCTACTCCATGCGCAGTCTTAGGAAGCTTTGTGATAAAATCCATCGTAATATCTTCCTATTTCCACAACGGGATATCCAACGGCTGCATCTTGTTGTGTGGTCTCTGATGCTCGGCCTTGACCTTCCTGCGGGTCAAGCATCGCTCGACATACCAAGCCACATCCCGCTTCATGCATGGCCACCAATAGTCTAGACGAAGATCCCTATACATCTTCGTCGCCCCTGGATGAATGGAGAATCGGGATTTGTGCGCCTCCTCCATCAAGATCTGGCGCATGCCTCCGTGATACGGCACCCACACCCTACGGTGTAGTGTCAATAATCCTCGGCTATCATAATCAAAAGAGGCGACTTGACCCACTATTCACTCGCTCTTCCGATGCTCCTCTTCATAGCCTCCTGCTGAGCTTCCCGAATTTGCTCTAACAGTGGAGTCACCACCGTCATTCTCATACACACATCCCTGATTGGTGCCGCCTTATGGCTAAGCGCATCGGCCACTACATTGGCCTTCCCCGGATGATAAAGGATCTCGCAATCATAATCCTTCACCACGTCCAACCACCGATGCTGCCTCATGTCCAGATTCGGCTGATCCATGAGGTACCTCAAACTCTTATGGTCCATGTAAATAGTACACCATACTCCATAGAGGTAATGTCGCCAAATCTTGAGGGCGAAGAACACCGCCCCCAACTCTAAATCATGCGTCGGGTAGTTCACCTCGTGAGGCTTCAGCTGCCTCGAAGCGTAGGCGATGACATTCCCTCTTTGCATCAATACTGCGCCTAAACCTGAGGTAGACGCATCACAGTAAACCACAAAATCCTCTACACCCTCGGGCAAGGCTAAGATTGGTGCCTCGCACAATCTCCGCCTCAGAATCTCGAACGTTGCCTGCTGCTCGGGCCCCCATCGAAAGACCACTGCTTTCCTAGTCAACCGTGTCAGGGGTACGACTATCTTGGAGAAATTCTGAATGAATCTCCGATAGTAGCTGCTAATCCTAGGAAACTCCGAATCTCGGATGGAGACTTCGAAACCTCCCATCTCATCATGGCCTCCACCTTGGACGGATCTACTGAAATCCCGTTCTAGTTGACGAGATGCCCAAGGAGATACACCTCGCGCAACCAAAACTCACATTTGGAGAACTTGGCGTACAAGCTCTCCTTCCTCAAGGTCTCCAAAACCTCTCTCAGATGCTCCTCGTGCTCCTCCTGCGTCTTGGAATAAACCAAGATGTCATCAATGAAAACTATCACAGATTGATCCAGCATTGGTCTACACACGCGGTTCATGAGGTCCATGAACGCGGCAGGAGCATTGGTGAGCCCAAACGGCATCACCACGAACTCATAATGGCCATATCGCGTTCAAAACGCGGTCTTCTATACATCCTCCTCTCTGAACCTCATCTGATGATAACCTGAATGCAAATCGATCTTGGAGAACCAAGATGCTCCCTGTAACTGATCAAAGAGGTCA